ATAGATAGATAGATAGATAGATAGATAGATAGATAGATAGATAGATACATACATACATACATACATACATACATACATACATACATACATAGACAGACACACAGATGATAGATAATAGATAGATAGACAGACAGATGATAAATAATAGGGCAGATAAGTAAATGAGTGACTGTATAGATAAATGAATGGATGTGTGGATGGATAAGGAGATTCAAGTAGGAATCCTAACAAACCTACTTGAAGTCACACAGCTGTACAGAAGTGCAGCTGAACTAGAATTAATGTGTGTTCATCTCCAATGTGTTTGTTTCTCTATCTGTTTATGTATATATCTCCATGTTGTTTTGAATTTTGCAGCTTTTTTTTCTCCTGTTTGTCTTTAAGTGACGCCCAGTGTTCCCCACTGTGTGTGCACGCTTAGTTCTTTTACCCCTTTCTTCCTAGAACTGTGGGTCTGACCCTGGCTTGATTTGTCTTTGTCTAAAACCTCTGTGTATGTGCACACATGTGTGTTTGGTGTCCCACACAGTTGAGAAGAGCATGTGCTGCTCGCTTCCCATATTTAACACTGATTAGCAACTTCCTAATTGAAAGATGATCAAGTACAAATATATATAATTAAGTTTGAACTGATGAGTGATTTTAGAAATTGCATGGCAAATTGATCTGGGAATGGCTTGTAGCTGCCTCTGCTCCCCCCAGGGGAGGCCTAGGGAGCAGCGGCTGTTGCCAGGAGCATGTTTCTCCCTCGTCCCTTTACCAGTCCTCTCTTGTCACCTCCCAGCCCTTCTGTGGGGTTTCTACAGCCTCCTGGCTCTGAGCAGTACCAGATGCCTCAGTCGCCCTCTCCCTGCAGCCCACCACAGATGCCACAGCAGTACTCAGGTAAGGGGGTAAAGGGTCACACACTGCTGAGGGGCTTACATTGTAAAGCAGTGGAGGGTTCATAGGTAAGTTGTGACCTCATCGCAAAGACCTAAGTCTTGATGAGTGTGGAGTGTGATGCCTTAGTCCTAACACTCAGAAGGTAGATACAGAAGGATGATGGGTCTGAGCTACATCTCTGGGTCCAGCATGTGTATGTGTGCATGTGTCCGCGTTATCTCTGTGGCCTGCACTCGTTTGTCCTTTAGACAGCTTTTCTCTTTCTCTTGGGAATATGAAAAACAAAGTTGAAACTGTTTTTAAAACCCACCATAGATCTATTTTGCAGATTTTGGTGTGCACTCATATGCATTGTGATTTTTGTTTGGTTTGGTTTGGTTTGGTTTTTCAAGACAGGTTTAGCCCTGGCTGTCCTGGAAATCACTCTGTAGACCAGTGCTGGGATTGAAGGCGTGCTGCCAGGCCACTGTGATGTTTTTATTCTCACCATAGTCCATAAGGAAATCTAAGACTCCAGTGAATGTCTTACCAAAGGTCATCATAGTCCTAGGATCAAAACTTAGATCTTCTGACTTTGTGCGCTATAAGCTGCATCTTCAATAACAGATTTCCAAGGGGCTTTGTGCTCTTATTTTCTATTCAGAAACTAAATGGGCTTAATGCTAAACAGCTCGTTTCCCTTTCGGTCCTCCCCACACTTGGTACACTACAGCTAAAGGAGCTTCAGGGCTTTGGGAAAGGCTTTATTCTTTTTTTTTTTCTTCTTGTTTTTGAGACAGAATTTCTGAACTGTAATTCACCCTCGGGCCATCCCCATTCCACTTTGCTTGGGGATGTCTGCGCGCCCTCTTCTGGTGAGAGGGAGTCATTTGGCTGGTTTTCCCACTTAGAATGAAGGACTTTCTTTCTCCTAAGATTTTTTGCACTCTCACTGTTAGATGCTTTGGGGCAATTACAGAATTACTGTTGCTCATAAGACATGATCTATTAAGGTGAAATAACCTCTGGTTTCATCCAGACCAAGCACAGATCTCTGAAAGCTAAGGTTTTAAATTCATCCACTCTTTTATTACATGAGTGGACTCTCCAGCCGCTTCTTACTGTCTGCCAAGGGACTTACTTGGCCTTGAAATTCTCAGTGGAATATGGAAATTGTAGAAACCACTCTCCAAAAATTACCGTGTACCATGTACTGTGTTGGTGCTCGGTACCACAGGGAATTTTCTCCCTGTTTGTTAAGATCCATGTGTGCGTGTGCATAAAGGATATGCTTGTATGTGTATTGTTGACATTTTTGTGGTATGTTAGTATATCTCTTTGGTTTCTGGTATCTGTTGTTCAAATATAAAGGGTCTTTGGATCAAAAACAAAGAAATAGGAAATAATTTTATGTTACTCACTTGACCTAATGCCAAGCCAACTAAAACATCTTTTGTTCTGGAGACAAGCAGCACCCGAGATCTAGGCCCAGGGTGGAGAAGGAAAGAGTTCGGACTTCCTAACCTTCTCCATCATCTGTTTTCCTTACTGCTTTGGAATTTCCCCAGTTACAGCTCCTTTCTTTTCTAGACGGCTTCTAAGCTTCTGACATTCCTGTACCCTTCCCAGACAGTGGGACCCTCTGTCCTACCCATGTTAACTAAGAGATAATGTTCCCTCGACAATTAATATTTAAAATTGTTAATACCTGCTCATGGAAGTTAAGGAAATTTTTAAAAAGAAACAAGTGTTTCTTCTGCTTTCTTTTCTAGTTCCTGTTAACTTGGCAGGAGTAGTCACAGAAACCACTCTCTCACCTTCAGAGGACGTCACCCCACCCTCCTCTCATGTAGCAACATGGTCACTTTTCCAAAAATAAAGGCAGGGATTAGGATTGACTGTTCCTGGAACAACTGTTGAGGTTTATTAATACCTTTTTCTAGTTGCCCAGTTCACCTCCAGGCCTGAACCTTAATTCTGCCACTATAATGCTAGATAAAATCACGACTCCAGGAAATACTTTGTCTCCCACTAAAATGATGGCTCTCAGGTCCCCTGAGGTTTATCTGGGATTCTGTTTGGGAAGATGCACACAAGCATGAAATAGCAGTGGTACTTGTGACCAGACTCCCTCACAGCGGCACAGCGGCAGGGACACTGTGAAGTGCACGCAGGAATAGCCTCTCAGCCTTTACTGCCTCTTTTCTAAGGGTTTCAAAGCTGAGAATATTCTCTTCCACTTCAGAAGGATCTTCCTCTCCCTTGCCAAAAAGAAGGTGGGGTGAGGAGCCAAGATACTGATTTCTGTCCTATGATTTTGACTTCATTTCTTTTTCATAGATTTGGTCCCTGGTGCTAGGGAAGAAGCCCTATCAGTTTTCAGTTTTCTCTCTCAGTGATCTAAAAAAAAAAAAAAATCTAAACAAAAAGCGAAAACCAATTCTGCCAGACATAAATGTCATCTGCTTGTATTTATGTGGTTTGCTCTGCCCAATCGACCTTTCTGCCCAGGTTTAATGATGCCACTTAAAAAACCATTCACATGTCCCCTCTCCTTTCTTAGCTCTCAAGCTGAAATTGATTTCCTTATTCAGCCCCCTTTTCCCTCTTCCGCCTGCTCTCAGCCCAGGCTCCTTCCCCAGCCCGGTGATAAGGAAGTGCTATCACTGGACAGAGGATTTTTTTTTTTTTTGCTATGTCCATTAAGAAGTAGGGACGGTTCAGCAGTTAACAGATGCCACCTGCTTTTGGCTCGAGGAGGAGAAGCATAAAAATCAGCTCATCAGTTGAGTGCTGTGTCCTCGGTTGAGTGAAGGAACAGTGCTCCAGGCCAGCGGGGGAGGACTGAGTATGGAGAGTTCAGAGCAGAGGCTGCAGCTAAGACTCCTGGCTGTATTTTATTGTTGTTGCTGGCATCAGAGAAGATAATATAAGGACTTCTTTTTCTTCCTCGCCTTAAGCTCCCAATAGCTCCTATGTCTGTGTTGGTGTTAGGAGATGCGTCCTCTATCCGGCTTATGCTCTCGCCGCATGCACCTGCGCCCACCTTCCCTAGCCCAGGGCTAGGCTCTGATTATGAGCTGCCTCTAGAAAAGCTGTAGATTTGATTATTTTTGTGGTGGTCCCTTGGGTGCATTGAGGAGTTTGAATAAAGTCAGTTACAGTGTTGTTGGTAGAGGGTGTTGGAGTGCATAGGGCTGATAGGATGGGGAGCCAAGGTGCCCAAGCAGCTGTAGTAAGGGGAGAGTTGTTACGGATGCATAGGGCACCACAACCGTGATTTCCCATGGCCCTCTACCAGCCACACTGATGAATGTGTTGCTCCCTTTGGAGCAGGGCATAGGAAGATAGCAGCCTATTGCACTAACTATTTGTGCTCTCTGATTTAATAAACCCTAGATAGTAGGATACACAAATTGGCCAGAGAAACGGATCAGATAGCTCTCAGAGACCTCATGTCTTTTTTCTTTTACTGAGCTATGACCAATACTACTTGAGCAAGCACTCTCCTTCCAGCATGGCTAGTACCCAGAGACCATAGCATTTCCCATCATAGAGGCAATGGCAGCCCTGAAGTACCAGACCATGGAAAGCGCAGCATTGCAGCTTCTGAGCTGGTAATCCCGGTAATCCCATTTTTTTCACCACTATCCACGCCAGCTCAGCCCCAGCAAGAATACGGCCTGAAAGGTCAAAAGAAAACTATCACGCTGTGTAATCCCCTGTGTAGAACCAGAACCCTCCCTATTCCTCCCAGTGGGGACTGTCCATCAAACTGCTTCTCCCTGACTCAACCTTCTTTTTCCACAAGGAAGATTGGACCTTTCCCTCCTCCACATTGACAGTAGAAAAAACTATCTATAGCTACCAGTACCAGAACCTCACAGTCATATCCAGCCGTGCTGTATTGGACTCTGCCAGTATGGCCTTCAGAAAGTTCTGGCCCTGCCATCATCCTTCTGGCTACCTTCCTGTCTCAGTTTTCCTGCCCTAGTCCCCTCTCTTTATTACCCTGTTATCTAGTGTAAGTATAAGGTAAGCTCTACAAAGTACCAGTCCTATCTCAGCATCTCCAGGATAGAGTCCAAGTATCCTTCCAGAATGCACCTCAGACTCTGCTCTCAACTCTTTGCTTAATGTCCGAGTTGTTAATAAACTGCCCTTTCTAGGGGGACCGTGCCCAGGCTTGTTGGTTGTACGCTCAGTGTCCAGCGGAAGGACCGGCACATAGCAATAAATGCTTGTTAAAGAAGCTTCTTATCCCTTAGTGTTTTTCCTGCAGTGTGCTTATATCGTAGCACCTCATGTCTACAAACTGTGCCCTCTACTGGAATGGTTCCTCCCTTCACCAGCTGGTGACCACAGAGTACTCTGTGAGTCCACTTAGTGAAGCTGTGAGCGTTCATCTTCTCCAGAGCAATTCAGCTTTGCTGGCTTACCCTCAGTCCTTTCAAGAAAAACTTGCTTATATCGGCAGCCCTGGCCCACACTGCAGACTAGAGCTCGTGCTGTGTGCAGACATTTCAGCAGTCTGACCTGGGTATTTGGGAATACTCAGCTTTGACTAGTGGAGTGTTTTTTCTGCCAGTCGTAACAAACTGCTCCACCAGGTAAAGGGCAGGAGAATATTGGCATCTGGTCTCATCTCTCTTCCACTCAAACTTCCACTGGTTGGGGAGAGAGGCTCTGAGGCCAGATCAGAAGCCGTCTCAGATGCCTGGCAGGACACAGTTGGAGTGACCCTGAAGCAAATGGGTGGGTTTGCTACTGGCTTTCCACTCAGAGATAACTGTGCTTCCAGAATAGTTTGAATTCCCAACAACTGCTTTCTTTGTGCCACTCAGGAGTGTCACCTTCTGGACCAGGTGTGGTGGTCATGCAACTGAATGTCCCTAATGGACCCCAGACCCCCCAGAATCCATCTATGGTCCAGTGGAGTCACTGCAAATATTACAATGTGGACCAGCGAGGTCAGAAGCCTGGGGACCTGTATAGTCCTGAAGGTAATCCCCAGGTAAGTCCTTCGCCCTTGTCTTAGGAAAAAAGGTCCAGAGTCTCCTCAGGAAGAAACCGTCTATCATTGCACATCTCATTTATAGTTTCTCTGAAGTTTTTGATGGATAAACATGAGAATGTCAAAGTGTATCCTCTTTCCAGGAACCTGGGAGAGGAGGTAGAACACATCAGACCATGCTTAGAGCATATTTAAAATGGAGGATCCTGGGATGAGCGTTGCTCAGTAGTTGATCACAAGCCTTGTGCATATGCGGTTCTGGGCTGGGGTTGATGGCATCTACAGGACAGTACCCAAGCTGGGTGGTAGTGGCGCACATCTTTAACACCAGCACTCATTAAGTAGAGACAAGTGGATCCCTGTGTGTTTGAGGCCAGCCTGATCTACAGAGTGAGTTTCAGAACAGCCAGAGCTACACAGAGAAACCCTGTCCCAAAAAAAATAAAGCAAAACAAAAAGAATAATACCCCAAATTGACCTCTAGCCTTCACAGACATGCATATATACACATACATATATGTCAGGGACCCCACAAGCTTCACAGTCTGCAAGGAAACAATCTGAGCAAGGTAAAGAATGAAACTTGAGTCAGAACCACTTTTTCAAGTACCGGGTCAGAACATCCAGAGTTTGACCTCAGGGTTTATTTTTCTTACAAATTTAAACACAGTAAAACGTAGGGAAGAGGTTTCTGCATGGCAGTTACCACAACAGAGATTTAGATATAGCTGTGTGGAAACTCCCAGGCCAGGTAGCAAAGCACCTGTGACCTTTACAATAAGAACGAGTTCTGTTGGCTGATGAACAGTGCTCAGGGCAAGGACCTAATGAGAAAGAATCTATAATGAGCATAAGGACAGATTCTGCTGGTGGAGGATGCACATGGAGCCTTTTTCATAGGATGGTTATAGTCACTGAGAGACAAGGTCTGGGATGAGGGCCTAAACAGTGCTCAGGATATCGGGATCCAGGAAGGCTGGCTCCATAGAATAGCACAAGATCACCAGGTGGCCACAGTACCCACTCCAGCCTTCCAGGTGATGAAGAGTCTGGTTTTTCCAATCCTTTCTTTAAGCTGCGCCTCCTACACAGACAAAACAAGGGAGTGGTTTATTGAAAGTGGATACTAAGAATACAAACTCGGGCTGTCAGGCAGGTGAGTGCTTTGGTGCTTGCCTAGCACAGCTGAAGCCCTGGGTTTGATCTCTCATGCTAGAAATAAGGATAGTTACAGCAACACAAACTAGGGAACAGGAGGGTGCTTTGGAGCAGCAATCTGGCTTTGGGCAGTTGGTACAAGACTCTTTGTTTCTTGAGAGTAGTGAATTGGAGGCCCTGGGACACACCAAGGTGTGTGTGTGAGAGAGAGAGAGAGAGAGAGAGAGAGAGAGAGAGAGAGAGAGAGAGAGAGAGAGAGGGAATGACATGTGCTCTTCTCTTTCACAGGCCAACGCACAATTGGGCAACAGCCCCGTCACATCTCCTACCCAGTCTCCAGCACCCTCTCCTGTCACCAGCCTCAGCAACGTCTGCACTGGACTCGGTCCCCTGCCTGTCCTCACGCCATTCCCCCGGCCTGGGGGTCCTGCACAGGGTAGGGAGTTAGGTCGAGGTGGGCTGCTGTGGACCCAGGGTAGCAGCAGGTGGGCAGTAGAGCTGCCACCACAGCTGACGTGGGCTGGCGCAGAGGACACCCACCCTCTTTCTGTTGCTCTCACGTGCATTGCTCCAGCCTCCTGCACACACTGGCTGTTTACTCCCAAGTGGAGGAAAGAGAGAGGAAAAAAGTTCCCTTTCCACTGAAAAAGAACGCAGCCCAGCATCAGTACTGGACCAGAGAGCTGGTGATGTGAGACTGCATCAGAACAGTGTGGGGCTGTCTGCTTCAGAGTTTCTAGGTGGGTGTGCCTCAGGAGGCAGAGGCAGGAGGATTGCTAAATTTGAGGCCAGCTCAATATACAAAGCGAGTTCTAGAACAGCTAGAGCTGTTACACAGAGGAACCCTGTCTCAGGAAAGAGAAGAAAATATTTAAAAATTTTTATTTTTTAGTCAGGCAATGGTGGCACATCTCTTTAATCCCAGCACTCGGGAGGCAGAGGCAGGTGGACAGGCTCCAAAGCTGCAGAGAAACCCTGTCTTGAAAAACAAAACACAAATGAACAAAACAAAAAAAGTATTATTTACATGTGTGCCTATGTGAGTTTATGTGTATCTTGAACTGGAGTTACAGACAGTTGTGAGATACTGATGTGGGTGCTGGGAATCAACCCATGTGCTCCGCAGGTGCAGTAGGTGCTCTTAACTGGTGAACCGTCTCTCCAGCTCCAAGAAGGGTGTGATTCTTTAGAGGCAACACTGATTTTCAGTTAAAGCTCTGGGTTCCAGTTCCAGGACAAACTAGCTTTGTGATGTTGAACAAGTTACTAAAACTTAGAAGTAGACCTTAATTTTCTCATCCATAAAATGGGATAAACATGCATAAGATGGAAATAGACTTTGTTGCCTTTTGCTTTGTCTGTCACAAGTAATCTAAAAATAAGATGTTTAAAACTTTAAAATATTCCGAAATGAATCATCCTGTGAGTAGTAAGCTACACGACACTCATTTGTCCCAGGCCTTGTGCAAGTGCTCTAACACTGTGTTCATCTAGCTGTTCAACAGCACCGCCGTTTCCAGTTAGAGTCAGTGTGTTGGACTGGCATCAGGTTCTGAGTGTGCTCTTATCCACCGCCACTCTACACTGCCTCTCCCGTGAGCAGAAACTTGAGCGCTTGGAAATGAGCACAGCCATAGAGGAGATGAAGACATTAGTAAGGCTGAGGTTCTTCCTCAGTCATTTCCTTTTTCTTGAGACTCTCACTATGCCAGGCTGGCCTCAGTGTCCCAAGTGCTAGAATAGCAGGCATGTACCATTACACCTAACTCTCCCTTGGCCATTTACCTAGGGTCTCTGATGGACAGAACTCAAGGTGAAGTGATCTAATAGCCCTGCTAAGAGTTTAGGAAGAGACACAGCTCTTCGTTTGTTTTGTTTTGTTTTGTTTTTCTGAGACAGGGTCTTACTGTGTAGCTATGGCTGTCCTGGAACTCTCAATGTAGACTAAGCAGATCTGCCTGCCTCTGCCGAGTGCTGGGATTAAAGGTGTGTGCTACCACAAAGGAGTACAACTCTTAAATTAGTTACACAGATACTCCCATCATAGCAAAGGTAGGTAGAAACAATATGTATTGTTGCTATTTCTCTCCAGAGCCCCTTGAAGTCTCATAATAGATATACCATGAAACTCAAACTCCTAAAGCACCTGTTCTTACCCTAGGTGATGGGCGCTATTCCCTTTTGGGTCAGCCATTACAATACAATCTGTCCATCTGCCCTCCCTTGCTCCATGGCCAGTCAACTTACACGGTGCACCAGGTGAGCATATCTACCATCTTGGGGGCTTCAGACTTCCCTTCTCATCTGGGCCCCCATCTGTGAGCCATCGGCTTCAACCAATTAGGTGGACACAGGAGAAAACACAGAATGGACAAAGCAAAAAGAGTTTTCCCTGACTCCTGTGCTCATGGCTCCCACCTCAGAGCCAAGAGGGAGAGGCTTTATGTCTCAGTTGCCACTCCCTGGGGAGGTAGGGTCCTCAGGGGCAGACATTGGGACCTAAGGCGATAAGTGTTGTTCCCTTGGGATGAGAGTTGTGTTGGATGTTGAAGGGACAGAGCGGGCTGAAGCACGGAAACCGAAGCAAGAGGCAAGCGCTCAAGTCTGCCTCCACTGACCTGGGCACAGCAGATGTTGGTGAGTAACTGGACCCATTGCCACCCCAGTATAGTGGGAAAGCTGGCGTAGAGTGAGGGAGTAGAGTCATCTTTGCTCACAAACTGTGTGAAGTATGTGGGTCCTGAGGTAGAACATCCTAGGCACTGTCAGAGCGGTGATGGGAGCAGCTGTCTCCTGATCTAGGACACCTCCCTTTGCTCACCCTAGACCGCAGGCCTTCCATGCTGGATATACAAGGTCTTTGCAAAAGAGTCCATGTTCTGCAGATACTGGCTAAACGAGGAAAGGAAGGGAACTGAGGATCATATTCCAGGTTGACCCTCTAAGCACATTACCAACAGAACTGCATTTCACAGCACTGACCCCCTGTGAAGCAGTGGAGTTGTAGGTGCCCAGATCAGAAACCCGAAGTTCTAATTCTCAGTCCCTCTGAATATCTCTGGGTTAGAGAGAGGAAGGTTTCTTTTCTTTGTGACTGCCCCGACCCCGACCCAGAGTCTCCATGGGGCTAAGTTGGATTGATTTGGGGAGGCTAACTGGAGAAGGTAGAAGTTTGAGGGCGTTTTGTACACAGGCTTGGTCAGTGGCTCTGTCAGGCCACTGTGTAGTCCTTGCTCCATGTCTCACAGCCCTTCATCTCTCCTCCCCTTTCAGTGCTGGGAAGGGTGCTGGAGGTGACGGACCTCCCTGAAGGAATCACCCGTACGGAGGCAGACAAACTCTTCACCCAGCTTGCCATGTCTGGCGCCAAGATCCAGTGGCTTAAGGATGCTCAGGGGCTGCCTGGTGCAGGTGGGGGGGACAACAGCGGGACTGCAGAGAATGGCCGCCACTCGGACCTCGCTGCCTTGTACACTATAGTGGCTGTATTTCCCAGCCCGCTGGCCGCCCAGAATGCCTCCCTTCGCCTCAACAACTCTGTGAGTCGCTTCAAGCTTCGAGTGGCCAAAAAGAACTATGACCTGAGGATCCTGGAGCGAGCTAGCTCCCAATAAATGGAAGACGGGAGGGACTGGCACGGTAGGAGTGGGGGCCAAGCAGAGGGAGCCCAGGCAGACTGACTGGGCCAGAGTCTGCCACCTTACGGCTGAAGAGAGAAGCAGACAGATTCTCACACCGGCATGGGACTCCTTTCCACTTCCTTGCCATGGGTCCCTCTTTTCCCTGTTGGTCCCTTCTGTTTTCCTCTCCTTCCCATCCTCTGCTACCATTTTTTTTTTATCTCTTCTCCCACCATGGAATTGATTTCTTCCATATTTTTTGGTCAAGTAGAATTGAGAGGGTCCCATACTCCCCTCTTCTCCGTTTCCTCACCGTCCCAGTCCCCTTTCCTCTCTGGTCTTCATGAATATATTTATATGGACAGAATTAAGAAAAGTACATTGATTTTCCCATTCTCTCACTTCCCCCATCTTGTCTCCCCAAAACCCACAGAGTTAAAACTTGGGACCCCCACCCCCAGAACACTGTATATTGTTTGTCTGAGGTTTGTGCCACCGTAACAGACACAGTATTCAATTGCACATACAGGTGTTTGCTGGGTGTGTTCACTGCACATTTTATTTAATCTGATTTTTGTTTGTTTGGGGAGTTGCTGGGGAGGGAGGTTGGTTTTGTTTATAAATATAAAAAAAAAGCAAAAACCTGTCACTGGGCATCACTCACTGTTTCTCTGTTGACATCGGTGTGGGTTGGGTAAAGGCTCTGAGCAGGTCCAGTTCCACAACTGCTGGAAGGGTTTTTTGTAGTTTAGGATGATTTCCCTGGTGTGTGCACAGAAATTTTCCCAACCTCTTCCTTCCTGCCCCTCCTCTTTCCTGCACACAATTCTCAGAGATGGCTGGGTCTGTGGTTCTCAGACTGCAAGCTGCCGTTTTCAAGCTCATTCCTCCATATCAGAGGGGCCTTCTTGCCCTTTGATTCTCTACTCATTATAGCCTTGCTGTCGAGCTGGGTGAGTCAAGTCGAGATGCTGGCCTCATTTCTGTTTATCTAGTCTTCTGACACACCTTTCAGGGATGGGGAAATTATACCTTTAATCCTAAAAGCAGAGCATTGGGTTCTTGGCAGAAACACATGTGAATGTTGCTTACAATAAAACCAACTGAACTTGCAGTGCCAAGCTGTATCAAGGTAGCACGCTTACCTTCCTTGCAGCTGACAGAACTGAAAACAGAAGCCTCCACTTGCAGGTGGAGTTGACTGGAGAGTCTTCAGGCCATCTTAGTGCTACAGCCCAATAGCAGGGACGTTAGAGAGCTCTCGGAGCCACTCAGCACTCTTTCCTGTGTGTGTGCGTGTGTGTGTGTCTGTGTGTCTGTATGTGTGTGCATGTGTGCGTGTGTGCGTGTGTGTCTGAGTGTGTGTGTGTGTGTGTGCATGTGTGTGTGTGTGTGTGTGTGTGTGTGTGTGTGTGTGTGTGTATTTTGAGGCAGGACTCCAGTTTGAGCATGATGGCACACACCATCTTGTAATCACAGTGCTCAGGAAGCAGACAGGCAAAACTCTTGAGTTTAAGACCAGCTTTGAACATAGCAGGTTCCAGAACAACCAGGGCTACATAATGCGACTTTCTTAAAAAGAAAATCCACACTCAATTACAGCCTTGACTTGGCTGTCCTCCAGGGTCTTGCAGCCATGTCATAGCTCAGACTAGAGAAAGCTATACCTGAGAAGCCTTCCCCTGACCTGTCAGCCCCTGTGCTGGACTATCGAGAGTTGAGAGGTGGAATTGCAATTAAAATGGTTTAAACTGCCAGGTGGTGATGGTGTGTGCCTTTAATCCCAGCACTGGGGAGGCAGTCAGGTGGATCACTGTGAGTTCAGGGCCAGCCTGGTCTACAGAGAAACCCTGTCTCGAAATAATAATAATAAAAAAAGATTAAAACTATAAGGCTTGGCTTTTTAACTTTAGAACATACAGTTCTCATGGCGGAAGGGAACATTATTTACAGATGATAAAAACTTACTTTATGGCCTTCAAAGTGGCTCAGTGGGTAAATGCTTGCTTCCACTTGCTCCCAAGCCTAGCAACCTAAGCTTGCTCCCAAGACAAGGGGAGAACTGACTCTGGGAAGCTGTACTTTGATCACCACTCACACGTAGTTTAAAAATATAAATCAATGTTAGTCGGGCAGTGGTGGCGCATGCCTTTAATCCCAGCACTCGGGAGGCAGAGGCAGGCGGATCTTTGTGAGTTCGAGGCCAACCTGGTCTACAAGAGCTAGTGCCAGGACAGGTTCCAAAGCTACAGAGAAACCCTGTCTCAAAAAAACAAAATATATGTATATATTTACAGCCGAACAGCAGGGACGTTAGAGCTCTCAGAGCCATTCAGCACTCTTTCCTCTGTGTGTGTATAAATGTATGCGTGAATTAACTCTCACTGTAGAAGGCAACTGTGGGTTGGTGAGGTTGCCTAACAGCAGAAGAAGTGCTGTATGCAAGCCTCATCTGCTTCAGTTCCTGCATCCCACGATATGCAGGAAAGAACCGACTGAAGAATTCTCAGCCCGCACCCCTGTGTTCATGCATGCATTCAGAAAGAGAAGACCACAGCGGCGACACGTCCAGGGTCAACTGTCATCTGCTGCTTTGACCTCCGGTGCCAACTAGGCTTTTTTTTTTTAAAGATTTATTTTTTATTTTATGATATAAGTGTGCCCACATGTGTATATATGTGCACTCTGTGTGTGCTTGATGCCTACAGAGGCCAGAAGAGGGTGTGGAGCTTTCAGAACTAGAGTTACAGACAGCCGATGTGTGGATGCCAAGAACAACCCAGGTCTTCTGGGCGAGAAGCTGTGTCATCTCTCCAGGTCCATAGCTTTTGGGTTTTGTCACCATCTTTTTCAGTAACTCTGACAGTCTCCTCTCCTTGAGGACAGAATTTTAGAGGAAAGAGATGCCCTGTGCAAGTGAGAAAGAAATACAGTAGTTCATCACACTCTGCTCAGTTGTGGAGGATGATGCAGTCTCGCATGGTTGACTGAGTTCTGATTCACACCCTCTTCTCAGCTCCCAGCACCCGGGAGGCAGGGGCAGGCAGATCTCTGTGAGTTCGAGGCCAGCCTGCTGTACAAAGCTAGTTCCAGGACATGCTCCAAAGCTACACAGAGAAACCCTGTCTCACAAACAAACAAACAAACAAACAAAAAACAAAGGAAGTAAAACCTAAGCAAGTAACTGAAATGGACTTAGAATTGAAAGGTTCTTAGAACATTAGGGGAAGATTATGGAGAAGTCACTGCCAGACATCTGAACTCACATGAGCACGTGTTGAGAGCAGAAGCTCCCTTCTTGCTGCAGTTATAGCACATGGTTAGCACGGCAAACTCCTGGTACTTGGAGTGGGGTAAGGTGCTGCAGTGTTGGGTAGAAAATTCGCCTTCCTGATGAGCCAGTGTATACACTCAGAGGAGCAGCTCTGGGGGATGGGAGATGGGAGGAGGCAGGGTCTAGCCCTGCCCAGACCTCCTGGTTCCAATTTCTGCCTGTCAGCTGTGCTCTCAGCTGTCCACTGTCCTCCAGCCCTGTCATTTCAGCTCGGCCACCACGGCGAGAGCCTAGGAGGCCTACCAATATTGTCTGAGTATCTGTGAGTCCAGAAGGTGCTGGGGGCATAGCCCTGGAGGAAGAGGACTAGCTGTCCCCCGGTACCACCATCAAGATCTTAGGGACTCTCTTTCCACACTGAGCTGACTTAGGGAGTCTCTAAAGTAAGTCATCTCTTCGTCTTTTCGTTCCCTGAGTCTGTTCGGCTTCCCCCTTGCTCTTGTAATCTGTGAGTAGTTTGAATTTTCAAAGTGTAATTGTTCTACTTCAAGATGAGACAAGATTGGAGGAGGGGTAGGGTGTGGTGGGGTCCAGAAGATGGAGCAGTAAGGGAAGGATAGGCTCATATTACTCTGAAAACCAAAATAGCAGAGACCCGAGGCAGCCAGGACAGAACTAGGCACCAGGCCCCCAAGGCTCCGAGAGGCAGGGAGGGCAGATCTCTGGACACACCTTCAGACATATAGGCAAGGATGCAGGTTTAACCTCCTGAAGCCAGGAGAAGGTGTGTATTGCATCAACCACAAGTGTATGTAGGACAGTGGTTCTCAACATATAAGCGGTCGCATGTCAGATCTGCATCTCAGGCCTTATGATTTATAACTAGCAAGATTACAGTGGTGAAGTAGCCGTGAAATGACTCTATGGTTGGGGTATTAAAGTGTCGCAGCACTGGGAAGATTGAGAACCACTACTGTAGGGGAGCTCCGAAGCCAACAGCCTTGAGCAGCGTATTGGATTTGTAGACTGGGGCTGCTCCTTGGCATGGGAAGGTAAGTGTCAGTTTAAGGAACTGCTTGGAAAGTCGTCTGCCTCTGGACGTTTTTTTCTGGACCTCTGTAGGATCTGTTCACAAGTTCTACCAAAGGCTCCTCTTGGGTCTGCCCCACTTGGTATCTGCAGTAATACAGGAATAGAACAGGCAGTCGGGTTAGATCTCATAGTTGGCTCCAACCTCTTGCAGGATGACAGAAAAGGAGGTACTGGAGCCCCCTAAGCCCCACTTCCCAGCAGAAACTCCACAAAGTGGGGTGAGTCTGGACAGCTGATCACTGGGGGCAGGGACGTTGGAAGGGCTGGGAAGCCTTGACATGTAAAGAAAATTGCTTGAACAGATCCCGCTTGAGTGTGGCTCATTTGTTGTTGGGCTAGGCAACAACTGCAGTCCCAATTCACTAATCCAGGGACACTGTTGAGAAAGTGACCGTCATTTAACATTGAGTTTCCTTCACCCCCCCTCCCTCAGCTACAACGACTGAAGCAGATATTCAAGAAGGGCTCTCCAGAGACAGCGGAGATGGAGCCTCTCCCAGAGCCCCAGGCCAATGGAGAGGCAGTGGGAGCTGGGGGCGGGCCCATCTACTATATCTATGAGGAAGAAGAGGAAGAGGAGGAGGAGGAGGAACCACCCCCAGAACCTCCTAAGCTTGTCAATGACAAGCCGCACAAATTCAAAGATCACTTCTTCAAGAAACCCAAGTTCTGTGATGTCTGTGCCCGGATGATTGTGCGTGAGTCTTGAAGGGGAATAGAGACAGTAAGACAGAAGGCTTATGGGGTGGGAGAGGACTTACGGAAACTGTGTGTGTAATGGACACACTATGGCAGGATTCACTCCAGGAAAATAGTGAGATTGATAGTTAGGGTGCCAGAAGAGGGCAGACTAAGCAATGGTGAAGTAGCCGAGTAGTCACAGGGCTACAAAGGAAAAGGGGAGTCCAGAACCTTACTCAAATGTTCTTCCTCACCCTCCAAGTCAATAACAAATTTGGGCTCCGCTGTAAAAACTGCAAAACCAACATCCATGAGCACTGCCAGTCCTACGTGGAGATGCAGAGATGCTTCGGCAAGATCGTGAGTAACAAGGCCCTGGGGAGCAAGAGACGTAGAAGAGGCACAGGCCATCAACTACTTGGTGACCCCTAACGCCATCCCACACATCTTCCTGCTTTTCCCTTCTCAGCCCAGCTCTTACTCTGAGAAGGGCTGAGCACTCATGAGGGAGGGGATGCTGGACCCTACCTTGCTACTCCTAATGCTTTCCCCATCCCCTCCTACAGCCACCTGGTTTCCGTCGTGCCTATAGCTCCCCACTCTACAGCAACC